CCTTTGGAGGAAGAGATATATACAAAACCCGTGTAAAATGACTGCAGCTGATGGAGATCTGGAGAAAAATATACCGCCTCTATTTTTAGTTTGTTTACATTGTGCATTGAACACAGCTGAGTGCAGCCCCAGGGAGGCCCCCATGCTCCCGCCCGGACGGGGCGGCAGACCGAGCCGCGAGGACATCGAGGCATCCCCAGTCTCCTCGAAGGGCAGACCCCTGCCCTGGGAAGGCCTGGCAGGGCTGTGGCCTTCCTGAAGCAGATCTTGTGTTTGTTTGGGTCTGTCACATAGCAACAGGGGAGAGAAAAAAACTTTTTTAAACAAATGTGACCGTGAAATCATGAAGATTGTCAGTAGAGATTCCACAGCAGAGACCGTCTCCGAATCTGCTTCAGGCTCATCTTTCGCAGAAGCTGACCTGGTTTCAACTTGACTGCCCCTTTATTTTAATTTAAAAGGCTGCAGTAAAAACCAAAACAAGGCAGGAGCACTCAGCGTTACAGACTGCAGAAACCTCAGCGACGAGGTTCAGCTTTTAGGTCAGAACATCCCTCCGAGCTGCCAGGTTTTACATTATAACATAACGTTGGTCTGCTCTGGAGCTGCAGCAAGCAGCCCCGCTGCAGCACGCCCTGTCGCCGGGTGGGCAGGGGCACCAGCCTGGTCTCCGGAGGCCGCGGCGCTGCAGACGGCTTCACCCCAGGCCCCGCGCCTGCCCTGGGCGAAGCTGACGGCCGAGCCGGAGCAGCGGGGACGAGGACCTGGCACGGAGATGTAGCGGGTGTGGAAGTGAGACGGCAGCTGAGCTAATTGAGTGCATGCAAGTTTGCAAAAGTGCATTAACTACTCTCTCCTCAGATAAAACACCCCTGAGAATTTTTGGCATGCTACACTGGCACGACTGCAAGTCTCTTGAGGACAGCAGCATCCATTTATAAACTCTTTCAGGTTTATGAGTTAAGACAGGCTGCAAAAAACTTACAGTTAGGAAGGATATTTGGTCTTCACTTTCTGTTTTAAAAATCTTCTAACAATTTTTCACACAGGCTCACACCCTGAAGGGCCTGTAAAGCCATTCTTGCAATAAAGATCATAAAACATCAGGGAAAACACTGACATTTCTTGATGGGATTTTTCTTTTAAATAAACTTTATAGGAAGAAAAACAACATGTTTAATTTTCAAAAGGACTGTTTATAGTTTTATGGAATTTTATGCCAGAAAGAACGATTCAAACAGAACGAGAGCTGATGCCTTGCTCTGGGTGCCTCCGAGGTATACCTGGCCCGCAGACGCCTGCGGGCAGGAAGCGCCTTGCCGCGCAGAACATCAGACGTGATGCTCAGGGCAACGTTTTCTACAGAGCAAGGGAGACCTCTAAGGTCACCCTAATAAAATAAGTAAATAGCACAGTGCTCCTATACAAGCAGCACCGAATGCAGGTGTATATGAAAAGGTAGGGACATACAACTTTGATTACTTTTCCACCTGCACCAGTCTAAATCCAGCCTAATTCCACTGACTGCAATAGGGTTACAGCTCATTTACATTTGTGTAGGTCAGATGACCAGTAGATCTTGTCCCCTTCAATAGTTTAACCTGTAAGAGCTGTCTAGAACAGAACCCAATGCAATTCCTTAAAAGAACTGGAAAAGCACAAATCTCTCTCGTAACGTCTCCAAGTTTCTCAATGAACACAACACGTTTCCAATACTCTCTCCCTGCAGCCTCAGAAACCCCAACTACGTAGCATGGATCTACAGGAGAAAAATTAGAGAAAGGAAGGGATGAGTCACTGCCTACGACACGAAGCGCATAAAGCAAACCACGGGCACCTCTCGGCGAGGGAGAGCCTCTGACCCTGGCAGCGCTCGCCTCCCCCATCCTCAGATGAGCTAATCGGGGGAGTCACAGGGACCTGACAGGTGACAAATAGGATTGTTTACCTGATGGAGAATGGATGCAGAGCAAAGCCAAGGGCAGTGAGCACCGGAGGAAGGACAGGGGAGAGAGGGATGCACAGGAAGGACAGGGAGAAAAACGCTGGGCCTGCCTTTGGGGGAATCACAGAAGAAAGTCAGGCTATGTGGAAAGAAAGGGATGCACAAGGAAGAAGGAAAATTATCAAAGGGGGCTGCAGCGTTTGGACGGCATACGGGAAACGCGATGAGGGAAGAGTGCTAACCTGGGCCGCGAAGCCTAAGGCAGGGAAAGGGCTTAGCGAGGCAGAAGCAGGAGAACGAGCTGCGGGGGAATAAGCCAGAAGAGAAGGACAGCAGAGCGGGGGTACAAAGGGTTTCCACCGCAACATGAAAAAACACAACGGGTCAGGGCCAGGGAGGCGCAGAGGAGCGTTACAGGTGCGGCGGGTTACGCGGCACGTGCCGGAGGGGCGGCAGCATCCCAGGTACGGGGTGGAG